ACAAAGATGTGAAAAAAAGCTTATCACCCGCAATGCTACTATATAGCTAAACAAACGTGCATGATGAAAGATGAAGAATGCATATGAGAGATGATATAATATGTATGCATGTATGTTAGCTGGTTCCCACCCCAATATCCTTTTCTATCAATAGTAATGCTGATTATTAGAAAGAAAAAGATAGATGAAGAAAGAAAAAGAAACCTTTTGCCTCTAACATAATAAGTAATCGTGTTGACAAGTTTTTCCTGCATATATGAAGCTAAAGTTCAAGAACAAATACTCGCGGCTTGCATACTGATCGATCCAAGAACAAGAAGAATAATTCAACACTAAGGTAATCGAGTTTTGTTCACAGTATAAGCACATATAAAGCTTCTTGATCATCAATCTTTATGATGATTAGACTGGAGAAGATTGTTGTTCTTTATAATTTTTTTTTCTTTCATTGTACAATCCTAAACTGAACTTTATCGTTAACATATTACATCTCGAAAGTCAGACAGCAAGGTCAACTAGGTTAATCTTCTTCTTCTTTTTTTTTCTTTTCTTTAATGTATGTATTTATGAAGTGTAATTAATAAGAAGATAATTCATTATATTCATTTTTAGATTAATATTCGCATTCATAAAATTTAAACAAACTAATTTAAGTATGTAAAAATCAATTTTTTAATTAATAATCTATTGAGAAGTCATCTAGTTACAGTATTGTGCTTTCATTCAACAAATTCAATTCTAGCAGGGGTTGACCGCTTCGTTGCCATTCCCTTGAGAAGAAAGATGTAATGTTTGCTGATAAGAAGAGTTTTGTCTGCCTGTGGATTAATATGAGAAAATATGCAAATGTGCTTTATATGCCAGAGATTCGAATCTTGCACGCGTTCATCATTTCTGAATTGTAGTCTTTCTGTCTCTCACTCTCTTGTGTCTTATTAATACATTGAAAGAGAAAGGAAGAAAATGAAGAATGTCACCGAAATAAACCATTGATGATGCTGAACAGAGATGCAGTCTAAACAGTAGATGAGGCAAATAGCTCTTTTCTTTTTCTCTTAACAGGAAATATGTTCACGGACAAAGGTCTACGCGTATGTATGAAACCGGCGCCGTCGTCAATAATCAATATGAGAAGTGTCGACAATAGATTGTTTACATGCATAGATAGAAATTAATGTTGACGTAATCACAACGTTGGGATGCATGCACAAGTAAAAGAGAGAGAAAGAGACATAGGGAGAAGCGAATGAGAAAAGTTCCACCCTCCATCTCATCGTCGTTCATTTACGCATATTGCATTTGTCTATGTATTGAACAGAAATAGACAAACTGTTAATCATTGATGTCAATTCTTATGAGTTTGTTCTTAATTTTCTTTTTTTTTCTTAAATGAAACTACAAATTAAACATTATAGTTCATGTATGTCTTTACGCAAATAGAAGCAGGTTATAAGGCTTGAGAAAGAGACTATTTTTTTTATTGAGAATGACATAATCATACATGGGCACACAAAAGAAGATTGATCAAGTTTCAATTCAGTTTTCTTCCTTCTTTCTTCGTTCTTCTTTTTCTTTTTCTTTTTATTATATGTTTCGTTGTTCAATCTTTAAAATATAAAGAACAAAAAAAACGACACTCATAGTTTTATTCGAGAGACATTTGCACCAGACAGTCAAGAGATGAAGCAGCTGCGTACCCAACAACATTCTCATCATAACTCAAAAGGTAATTGCCGAGTATGTGGTATGTAGTATGCTATCATAATATCATCGTCGTCGCGACAATCCTATATACATATATGTATATTTGTATACACCACAACAAATGAATGTATATAGCAATTGGCACTCATTCGACGATAGCATCGATATGTGGCTGCGTCTAGTAAATAATAATAATAATAATGACTTTTTGCAAGTATGTCTCTTGGATAGTTGTTGCTATTGTCTGTCTCTACGGTCAAATACAGTAGTTGAAACAAAAGAAGAAACTGTGTTGACTTTGCAGAATGTTGTCAAAATCAGATGGAGAAACAGAAACACACAGATAGAGAGAGGGAGAGAAAATTGAATCACTAATCATATAGAGATTTTTCTCCTTTTTTTTTCATCCGCTTACAGATTTTCTTATTCATTCGATTGGAAAATAATAATGAAGCTTTACAGCTTTTTGCGTGACTTAGTCATGACAAATCTATGCATATGTATATGATCAAACGATATTTTTGTTCTTTTTTTTCTTTTAAATTAGATTGATACACTATATGTATTGATTTCAAGTGATGCTAGACATCTCATCATTGCCGTGCCAAAAAGAACCATATATATGCATATTTTATTGTTATAGCCACTTTTTTTTTAATATATCAATGAGTGTATTACATCATCATCATCATTATTTCTCTGCAAGTGTATGAGTCTCTTCTCTAACCGTTTATAGTCGCCGCCCTACGATCATCGTTTCAATACACTTGTGCCGTTGATTATATGTATTTATATATATATATGGCATCAACAGCATCCTTTTTCTTCGTTGCACACAAATTAGGCATTACTCTGAAGAGTCGCATATATATAAACGTATATATCGAGGCCACTTATCACACTAATTGCACCCTATGATGCCTACTGCACCCATCTTCTTCCCTCTCTCTCTCTCTCTCTCTCTCTTTTTTTTTTCCTGGTCAAGTATACTCAATTCATACACGCATGTGTGTGTCTTATCCTCCTTAGACGTCTGTGTGTGACAACAGATTGTGTGTTTCCCCTAAGAAAATTATCGTCCCCAGTCACTAACGAAAGATGTGTGTTGTATATAAAGAAAAGAGCGGACGCTGACGTTTTATGAATAAGAAAAAAAAAGGGAGAAGCATCAGAGAAACAAAGTTCGTAAAGATAATAACAAAAAAAAGAAGGCAGTCGTCTTTCATGTTAATATGAAACCAAAGAAAAAGAATAGACTTTGATTGTAGATAATCATTTGTTTTTAATTGTGTATTTATTCTTTGGTTTTTAGCTTGGGCAAGTCTTGATTGTCTTTTGACATCATTGCCTATAACACCATTATCTCGTTCGTCAGTAATTATGCGTTCGAATGGTAATTTTCCAATGACTGATTCACGTCGTATATCTCCGCAAACTACAAGTTCAAGTGGTTATCATAGTGATCTATCATCTGCAACACCAGCTAATCAATCTCCACAATCCATTCATGAAATTCTACCTATTACACTAGAAAAATCTTGTATATCATCATCATCACTGTCATCATCATCACAATTACAAAAAAAGACAATATCAGTTACAAATAATTCTACATATGATAAACTTTTAATAAATAAAAATCTTTCACGTATATCAAGTTTTATACGTAAACAATATGAACGTGCAAAATCGAAATTTATTTCCAAACCATTATTATCATCATCACAAGCACATGTGCAAAAAATTACAACTTGTAGTAAAGCAACATCAACAACACCAATAACTCATTTATCAGAAGATAATTCTATATTAACAAACAAACACGAATATTCCATATGTAATCAAAAACCTTATTACCATCAAAATAATTTATCGTCTGTTTATCAACAAAGTTCATTAACCGAACCGGTAAGAAAAATACTTTCTTTCTTAATGCTTCTTTTCATTCGATTCCTTTTTTTTTTGTCTTTGAAAAGATTTATTCAATCGATGTATATCCATCACATAATCATCAAGTAAAACTAACAGCATCTCATCAGCATAAAAATTATACGTCAATTCATGACTGTTATTCTCATCAGCCTTCATATGGTTATTCAACAAAAAATAATTCTCATCAATATTCATCATCTTATCGTCGTTTAGCTGCAATGGCTAATTTTCAAAATAATAATTATAATATACATCGTCATCAATATTATCCATTTGAAACATTATCATCATTATCGCATCAAAATTATTATCCATATCAATATACAAACAATAATTATGATTATAATCGTTCAAATTATGTTCCATTAAGTGATTTTATTAGTACAAAAAATAGTGCATTTAAACCTATTGGTGGACAAAAACAAAAACAGTTTTATTCACGTCCTTCATATAATATGTCTGAACAAGTACCACCATCCGATGATCCATGTGACCTTGAAGTAGCACAATATTTTCCTCAAACATCACAATGGAGTAATCCGAATTATTTTGATATTTATTCAAAAGAAATTAATGTATCGAAACAAAACTACACAGAAACTTTATGTTAAATATTTGCGTATAATTATTATTGTTGTTTTGTTTTTGTCTCCGAATGATAATATAAAGAATATATTATTTTCAAACTTTCATTTCTTGGATATAACAAATATTTACTGTAAGAGGAAAAAAAGAACTTTTAATAGAAATTTATATTGGTCTCTATGATGAACATTTATATGAGAGTAATTAAAAAACAACAAAATGAAAAAATTTAGTATGTAAATACTTAGAAAAGAAAAGAGTGTCCTTGAATATTCAGTTCGAATTCTAATGATATAATATCGACTGCATTCTGATCATGTTTATGGTCTATGAAACATTGATAAATGTAACACTGTACTTAATTTAGAATTCTAATTTTCCAGACGCTCATATCTATTTTCTCGATACGTCGTTCATCACCCATATTCAATATATTCCTCAAAGGATGCTCGAAAAAAGAATAAGTTGTAAGATTTAATAAACTTGTCAAACATATGTTATGAAATTTGATGAAGTATCTATTTCCTTCATTAAGTCGAATAGATTCTTCTAGATGACGATAATGACATCGTCTAGTAATCTATCTTCTCTATTAAAACAGACGCGTACAATCATGCATAAGAGAATTTCTAGATGTCAGTCATGATTTTTTTCTGTATGTCTCTCTCTCTCTCTTACTGACAATTACTTGATTAGATGTCATAGTTTATTAAAGAGAAATACTCATTTAATACAAATGAAAATTTTATTATGAATGATTAATTGAAAACTAGTTATCTTTATGAATGAATAGTTTTTAGTTTTTCAATACGTCGTTGAAAATTTCGTATAACTAAATAAGTTCGTTGATTAAATGAACCATAATTATTATCACTTGAAATCCAATCTAAATCATTATGATAATTTAACATAAATCCATTATCAAAATTTGAAATATCACTTGCTAATTTTAATGCACGCCATGAACGTTGTCCTTGTATACCAATATATTGATGTAATGGCCATTGATGATTATGAATTTCATTTTGAATAAATTTTATTAATTGTTGTTGTTCATTATTTTGAAAATAGGAAAGTTTTTTTTCAATAATAAAATTTTTTATTTCATTAGATTTATCTTCATGTGTAAATTTAATTGTTTCATGAAAATATTCTTCTTGTTTATTTATATGTTTATTATTCATTATGGATAATTTTGTTATATCAGGTAATTTAAAATTATTAAGATATAAATGTAATTCTTGTTTATTTATATCAAAATTATATGATTTAATATTTGCTAAAAGAAATTCAATATGATTATTTGTATATAATTTTATTTTATTATATAACTTGAAAATATCATCTTTATTAGATAAAATATTTGTTTTAGTAGTTAAATCAATAGATAATTGACCAATACCAGTGTTATTAATAGTTAATTCTTTAATTGAATTATGAAATGAAGGTGAAAATAATTCGAATTCTTGATGAAGAGAAAACTCGTCTATAGATTTTAGCTGATTTTCTTTTAAATAATTATATATAATAGGATCTATAGAATTATTTATAACTGTATGTTCACCTTGAGAAAATAAATTTATTTGAGAAATAAAATTATCATTAGTTATACTTGGTGAATTAATAAAATATGAACCAATTAATGAAAGAATTTTGTTTTCGTTTATTTTTTTTAATGTTATAAAATTTATTTCAGATGAATTTAAAGATACAAATGCATTTTTATTTATATTATTAGTAATGACTTCTGGATAGGTTATTATTGATGAAGAATCAGTTATAAGTATTTCGTCAGATATTGATGATAATGATGATGAATTTGAATCACTTTTTATTGATTTTAATAAAGGATTTGCTTGAATAAGATTCAAACCTTCATTCATTATATTTGATATAAAATGATCGATTTCTAATACTTCTCTAGCTGAATTAATTATTTCAAGTGTAAATGTTTCAACTGTATTCAATTTTGAGTATTCATGTGACATAAATGTTTCGTTTGTTTTACTATGTGATAATGGATCACCAATGAATGTCTACACAGAAGAATAATGATGTTTAATGATGATACAAAATAAATTTTTATACTGAAATATTCATTTGATGAGATGTTATTGGAGCAACGAATGATTTTCCAAGAATGGTTTCAATGCTTTTTTGTTCGAATTTGGTACAAAATCGTCGTAATTCTTGTTCAAGTTCATTATCAGTTAATGGACGAAATCGTTCACCTGTTCGAAATTCACATTGTTCATCTGTATTGATTTGTTTTTCAGTTGTGTAATATTGATTTTTAATGAAAGACTTTAGAAGATCATTTTGTTGTTCATTACAAGTGATCAAATATTTTCGTGAGAAAATTTCTGTTTCATTGGAATACGTTTGTTTTAAATCATTTTCTTTAGTATTTTGTTCATCTTTTAGTAATGTATCGAAATTGACTGAAGGTAAAATATGATGAAGATCATCAATCATAAGATTTATATTTAAAGTTTTGCCCTTAATTTAAGAAAAAAATAAAAGTATTTGAGAAGTTATAAATAATAAAGTTTACTTTAATGACAAAACGAAGTCGATCGAATTTAATATAATTAAGAAAATAAGGAGTTAAGAACTGAAAAAAAAACTGTTAGCACAATTCCTGTGGAATTAAAATGTGAAACACGATTTAACTGCTGCAGCTAATCACAGAAAGATTGTTGTATTCAATCTATTTTGAGACACATTTCTTCACCATCCTTTTAAATAATCCTGCAGAAATGCAACAAGGATGTATTTCATGTATTAGAACGAGATGTTATTGATATAAGGTCTTTGATCTTATATCAACAATGTCTGTCATGACCTCTGTGATGCGTTGCTACAAGAGATTGCGGAACGGGAACAGGAATCGAAGCTGAAAAGAAAACTCAACCGGCATTGGAACTAGAACCGGACATTGTGTGATGCTCTTAGCTCTGTCAGTTTTTAAGTGAAGTTTTTCGCACATCGTAAGTTAATTTATTATTGTCACACTAATACCTTGTAATACAAAGAAAAGGTACATTATAACTAGAGATGGGCATGGCGAGTTGCAGTCTTCGTTCCGACTTCGATCACGGCATTCTGTACTGGGAGCAGAAACTTTAGAAAATTGCAGCAGCGAAGCTCAAGTTTACAGTAAAATATTGTACAAGTTTAACCAAATTATCTTGACAATCATATGGATTAGAGCACAATTCAAGAATATGACTCGAAAAAATGCTAGTCATCGATTAAATAAATCAAATATATCAATGTTAAAGAATTATTTTAGATGTGATACGAATAAATTCTGAAATAATTGTCTCTAAGCTGGAACTAAGATCCAGCCAAGATCCTGAAAACTAAAATCACCAGGACTCAAGCGGGAACCAAAAAAACTGGTTCCACACATCTCTAATTATCACGAGCTGAGGGGGAGGTAGCCGTATATTCAAAGTTTTTCCTCTATACTTCAACATTCCCTTTAGATCGTGTTTCACAAAAATATGAAAATGAATTTCCTATTTAGAAAAAGGCAAAAAATGTTTTACTTTTGTAATTTTTAATAAAGTTTTCCAAAGAAGAAAATATTGATTATTATTATTATTATTATTGTTATTTTTTATTAATTCTTCAATTAATTCATTCCTTTGTTCTTCGATATTATCAAATATTTGATTAGGTAATACTTCAGTTGCTGTTACTTCGAGATACCTATCAACATTGAGAATAATTCTAATATGTTTAAAATCGAATTGTTTACTGCGAAATAAACTGTCTAAGAATTCTCTCTTTAAATTTTCCAGATGGGATGGATAATAAAAGTTCAGCATCAGTAATACAATGAATACTAGTTTGAAGTGAAATTATATCAGTTTTAGGTACTGTTTGGGAAATATATTCAAGAAATGGTGATCCAGCTAATGAATCTGACACAAGTATACGATAAAATAATTCAATATTAATATCTGTAGCATAATCTTCAATTGAACAATCTGATAATGAATGTAGTGGAAGTTCAGATTTTAGTTTAGAATTCGTATCCGTTTGATTATTATCATTTGACTCATTTAATTCTTCAAAGTTTTGTTGGAAATCATCTTGTTCAGATGGCTGAATTTGTATATATTGTCGAGGATTGTAATCAAGATAAGAGATATTATCCAGAGTAAATTTAACTAAATTAGGTTCTTTATTTTTTATTGAATCAGCCTGTGATAAATGATTGATGGGTGTTACAATAACATTTTCTGATGATGTTTTAATAATATTCTCAATCAATTTTGAATTCGATTCGATTGTTGAAGATTTTTTCTTTGATTGAGATGATATAGATAATTGACTAATATATCGAGGTAACCAATATATACGTAATTGATGCATTGCATTTATTGCCATTTGAAACCATATTGAATCTGGTGTACTCGAATCAGGCATTCGAATATCATCAAAATCAATAGTAATCGAACGAAATTCATGATGTTGAGAATAGTATTTATAGATAAAATTTAAATATGAAATATCAATACGATTTGATCGAGATGAATGTCGTGATTGAAGTAAACACATTGAATCCATAAAGAAATTCCAATATTTAATTCCTGATGTAGTTTGAAGAAACTATTAAAAACTATTCTTTTTTCTTTATTGATAAACAAAAAAAAAGTTTTACGCGATGAAATTGTCGAACATCGGTTACTGTTGAAAATATATATGATTGTTCTTTCATTGTCGTTTCGTTCGATTGAATAAATGTATGTAATGTCGAAGATAATTCTAAAACATTTGAATAATTTTTTTTTATACTGTTATTTTTGAATAAATTAACCTATCGTATCATCTGCTTTTGAAAGTAATAAGCTAAGAAGACTTTCAATATAAATATTTGTATGAATATAATTATCTAATCGACAATGAGTTAACCATTCTTTTGCTTCTTCATAAATTTTCTCAGAAGTCTATACGATATAGATTTTAGTAAACGTGAAAAATATTATACCTGATGTTGAACTAATAATGGTGGATCAAAATCAAATTGATGAGTTAAACGATGACAAAGAACACGTTGTCCAAAAATCTAAATTTATATGTCATATAAAAGAAAATATGATGTAAATTTGAGGTCTCAATGGATTAGTTTGCTTTTTTTGGATAGATACTCATGTGTTAGGTCAGACTGATTCGATATGGCAATGGGTGCTCATGGATCCAGTCTTGAATCATATATAAAAGTTTCAAAGGATGTTGCATATTTCTACTAAAGTTTTTTTCGAAAAATTCAGTATAATTCTTCCATTGGCTGAAACAATTTCTGTAATGAACAGAAAATATAAAAAGAACCTTTCAATCATCAGTTTTTGTTAACATTTTTTCTTCAACTACTGATGCTGGTTCATCATCATATACAAAACTGTATACATCCGAATGAATCAAATTTCTTTTGATACAACAACCATTGACATATGTTGTTATTAATAATGAAAAAGCAAACACATCTTTATGCTAGAAATTTTTTTGCTTTTCCCGAAAAATTTGTTTATCCATCAACTGCTGTTTCTCGAAATATGCTTGCTCATTCAAGTATTACAAATTTATTCAATGCAATTAGATGAGTGATTTATGGGAGCTGGTTCGATTCAAAAATCGATAACCCATGAATTGGCTTTCTTCGACCTAGGCCGATCATTGAGACCTCTGATTTGAGTTACCTACAGGCAATGATAGATAGACATTAAAATAATCAATTAACAATGGATGACTCAATATGTCATCAAGTAGATTCTTTGAATTTCCAAAAAGCCAATGACATGCTTCATCTAAAGATATAAAAAGTTAATATTATTTAATTACTAAAAAAATATTTTTACCATGAATACCGGTTAAAATTTTATTCTGAAATTTATTTATCGAATTATTAACTGAATTACTTGTATTCTGTGTATTAATGTGTTTAGTTTCTAACTATTTAATAGAAAATAATAAATCGAATTTATTAAATAATTTATTACATTTTCTGTTTGAGAAGAACTAAAACGTTGTTGATGAATATCATTGATTGTCATTATAAAAAGAAAAAGTTTTAGATATAAAGCGCGAATTTTTTATTAATAAAAAAAACAAAGATTAGACATTATTTTAACATTTTTTATTATTTTAATATCTGACAATTTCAACGGTAGTATAAATAGATGATGAGGATGATGATGTTCGCGATGTAAAATTAGAATTTCTTTGTTGTGATGAATCATAGAGAGTACTATTGAAAGATGATAAATGTAATTTTGTTCTTGGGTTGATTGATTAATGAATGATATAAACCCACGTTCTTGTAAAATTCATAATAGAAATGGACAAAGAAGTGTAAAAAGCGTTAATAAATAAAACAAATACCAATGAGAATTGTTGCATTACATAATGAATAAATGAATTTATCTTAGCAACAAATTTTTATTTTAGTTTTTCTATTGATTTATAATTAAAATATGACTTGTGGAAAATTGTATGAGTAAGTAAAAATTTGTAATATATACGAATTTATCACCGTGACTTTTTTTAGTAAATTATGGAATAAGTATGTTTCTTTTTTGTATCAAATCAAGATTAATGAGAGATTAAAATTCTTTTTGAAGTTATTTGACGAAATATGGTGATTTTCGTGAACGTTTACAATCAATACGAAATGATCATGAATGTTTTAAAAAATTACAATTACCACGTATTAAAGAAAAATCTGTAAACATTCACATTCAATCTTCAACATCAAGAAAAAAATCTACAATCGATGTTAACAATCAAAAACTTCATAAAAAATGTGATTCATTATTGTCATCAGAATGTTTTCATCCATCAATAATGAAAAAGAATCATTCGCTTGCATTGGATCAAACTGAACTTGATGAATTAGAAAAACTAATACAAGCTGAGGTTATATTTATTGATGTTAAGTTAATATTGTAATATATAATTATAGTACAATATAGAACTTTCCGGATAATATTCTTCAAGCGAATACTACTTCTCGACATTCAATAGACAATGAAACAGATATTACTGTAACCAATAATATTCTTGATGATAGTCATCAATTATCTTCGAAACGATTAACATCGCCACTTAATTCAATGTTTAGTAAAAATAATGTTAATCATTCAATATCACAATTTAGTAAAAAATCGTCGACATATCTTTTTTCAAATAGGTTCATTGTTAACGTGGAAAATAGTGATGTAACGGTGATGGTCATAGCCAATGCACTAGTCTAGATGTAAACGTATAGAATAAAACTATGGTTATCTTACATTTACTTCGACTTTTTCGATCGAGGGAAAGTCTATTTCTAGAAAATGCTAAATATTATAAAACATGACTCAACTGTGAGAACTAACAAGCGAGCTTTTCTAAGTGTATCATGAAGATTTTAATTAGCTATGAATACCCTGAAAAGAGTTCGGTAGAGATGCGCCTTAATGACAATTGTTTTTGTGAAAGTTTTGGATCTATTGATTGCTTATACACGAAGATACGGTTATAGTAAAAGCATGGTTTTTCAAGCCGCTCATATACAATGAGTAAATTTTGACGTTCTTATTTTAGAATAGGTGCAATCGAAAAAATCTCAAACTTTCACAATAAACTATTATGACTTACGCTTGTGTCTATACGAAGTTCCAAGTCGAAATTCGAAAATCAGTGTTCCTGAGGAGGATCGCGGCATTTTGCTAAAAAATATAGTATCTCGGTAGTAATAAGCCATTAGCCTGAATTCTTTTCAAGGTTATCATAGCTCTTTAAAACGTACATAATACACATAGTTTTGACTCAAAAGCGATTTAATATTTAGAAACATTTCCTTGTGAACCTTTCTTGAACGAGAAAATCGAACTTGAGCATTTTGACAAAGCTCCTATAGCTTCGAATTTTTGTACTTAGAAAACCTTTGGTCTATTTTTTAATAAAATTCAGCTATTTTCATGAAATGCCCTTCCTAATAAAAAAAAAATCCAAGACTACCATAGCTTTATCATGAGTTCACTGTTAGTCTGTACCTACGTATTTAGACCAGTACACAACTGTACGTAAGACTGGTTTACCGTTGCATCTCTAATCGAAAAGAGCTAGATATATTTCTTTTAATCATAGATCAATGCAAAAATCTGAACTTGGTACAACATCACAACTTGGATCAAGTTCACATAATCTAATCTCAAGTTGTAATACTAATCCATACGCAGAACTTGTTGAACGTCTTCGCCAAGCTGAAAAACTAAAACTTAAAAATTTCGGTACAAAATCTAGTCAGAAACCATTTGATTCAAAAGTAAAATTTATTCAGTTACTCTAATTAAATTTCTCAAAAACTAACTTTTCTTTAGATCAATTCAATTACGCATTCTTGTATTCAAAAATTACTTTCTTTTCTTCATTCTCTTAATGATGATACTATTGATAATCAACAAAACTCGAATATATTCGATGAAAATACATTAATAGATTTATTCTCTGTCGATAATCATCTATCATCATCCATCTATGTACCAACAAATATTCATCAACTTAATATTATACCAAAAAGCCTTCGTCAATCATTAAAAAATACTTCAGATAATGAACAAATACTTTGCAAAGTATATGATTATGTATTAAAACTGATTTATAGTGTGTTTTTGTTTTCAGATTCAAGCTGAAGTATCACAAAATAATGTAACAACAGAATTAAATTCAAAGATGTTTAAAAATTCTAAAACATTTTTGAATATTAATAAACAACAAGTCTATTCAAATGATGATTCTCAAATATCGAATTTTATCGAGCAAAATAATCAATTAGTAAGATTATGTATAAAATTTAGTTAACAGAAAAAAAGCTTCCTTTTTTTGAAATAGAATTCAAAATTACTTAATACTTATGCTGTTAAAGCATTTAAAGAATTCTTAATTCATAATAAAAAATCCACGCGATTACCAAAAGTATATTCTAATAAAATGTTTACCATAAAATAAAATTTTTTTTTTTATTTTAAAGTTATTTCATGATATTGATCAATGGCATCAAAAATGAAAATATTTTTATCAATAAATATTCTATTTTATTGAATATTCACATGAATAAAAGAAAAAGCTTGTTAGCACAGGTGCTTTGGAGCTGAAATGTGAAACTCACATGTGATCTTTATCATTGTTATAAAAAAAATAAAATACGTATAGTGAAATTTTCATTATATTTACAGCAAGTATCAACGTATTACTATAAGTTTCGATAAGCTCACAAATACTAATATTATATAATTATTTGCTTACGCTATGACTTGATCAGTTCACGATTTTTTATTTTGATCATATAACGGCTGTGACAAATCAATGCATGGCTACATATAATCCTTGGCATCTTTTAAAATATAAAATTTCATTTGCACAAAAATCAAAAAGTGTACTATTTAGAACGTTCGCAAATGTATTCTAGCCATTCGAATGTCGAGAGAGATATTTGAATGTTCTTCTAAGTCTTGTCGTTAATGTTGCCGTTCAGTGCTGTTTCCTACAGCTAATGAGGAAACTAAAAGAATTAATACTCCGTCGTTGGAGTTCATATTGGGTTCACAATGACGTCTTGATAAGATTAGAAAACTCCTAAAAGTATTCGTGCGATGAAGCTCGGGAGTCAAATTATGATCTTTTTGCTGAATTTTCATTCTAGCTTTAGGTATTCACTGAAAATCAAATAACAATTTCTTGGAAATTTAATATCTCAACAAAGGACCATTCTTTTTGGCTAAAGCTTTCAAAATATTTCCAGATTTATCGGACCTACGTATGGACAAAACTTTAAGTCGAAATTTCATTTTTGATTTCTTGGTAAATACCTGAAGCTGGATCAGAGATTCAGTAAAACGTTCATAATTCAGCTGTAGAAGCCCATGGGCATGAACTCTTTTAGTATTTTTCTAATCTTACCAAGACCTCATTATAAAGTCAATATGAACTCAAACGGTGGGTATCAGTTCGGGTAGTTTCCTCATAAAGAGCTCTTGGAAAAGAGTCTGACATTTGTTGTTCTCAGTGAATAAAGTCTGTAATGTGAAGAGGGAACTGCAAAACTTTGACTTGAAACTCATATTAATTATTTTCTTCAAAAATATATTTGAGTTTCACAAAAAAAACTTTTTTTCGATTACAAAGCAACAAGTGAAACAGTATATGTATGTGGCAAAGCTGATCGAAGTGTTTGTTTCCATCGAGCATGACAATATATTTGATTAAAACCATGTAAATGAAGTCTAAGATGGCATTCAATATAATCATCATTTGTTGATATTAATGATGGATAAGCAATTAATCTTAGTTCTTTATCAATAGGAAACGAAGATGAAGATGCAGGAATAATAAATGGTGAAGTATTTGTCCAATAATATTTATTGCCAGTATTAGATGTTTGACCACTGAAATGAGCTACAAAAGATGGTTGTTTGTTTTTTTTTTGAATTCAATAAACCTATTTTAGAATATACCTTTTAATGGAGTGTTAAATTTTGCTTGTTCAATATGTAAATGATTAATTTGTTGTATTCGTATTTGAATAAGATTTTGATCTTTCAAATAACAAGTTGTTAATATTAATTGTCCAAGATAATCTGATCGAATATGTAAATCTTGATTGAGATATTCTAATATGGTATTTGTTGAAAATGTTTTCTCAGTTTTATTTTCTTCAATAAATTGATCAAATTTAATAAATACATGTCCAATTATATGACGAATACGTGTTCTTAAATTAACTTTATATGCTGTTAGACGTAATGTTCTTCTTAATAAATCATCTGTTTTTAACTAAAAGAAAATAAAAATTTAATTTATTGAAAAAATGAAAAATTGATTTTTATTTTGTATTACTGGAAAATTAAACTGTTCATTAAATATACCATCTATTGATGATCTTGTTTGACGTTGTTCGTCATCATTTGGTAATAAATAAAGAATAAGGTATATATTTTGAGTATTTATGACTAAAATAATATTTAAATAAAATTTATGATTAATTTTATTTTATTTACTTGGTGAATAATTATTTAATTGAAATATAGTTATAAATAAAGTTTCTATTGTATGGTCGTATCGTAGTTGAAAAGTAATTGAAGGTATACTTGGTTTTGAAGGAATGCTAAAGAAAATAAAAATAACATATGTATAGTAAAGAAAATTTTATTTACCTTGGAGTTATATTTGATGAAATTGGAAAACGAATATTAGCACCAAGTGATGATCTAGTTAAACGAGTTGAAGGATTGATTGTTGCTGGTGAATAAGAACGATAGTGACTACCAGCAGCTAAAATTTGAAGACGAGCAGCAAGATCTTCGCCGAATGAAGCTGAGCGACATCGTGATAATGGTTGTTGTTTGTTGAGATTAACTAAGCATGATGAAGATGGTTGTCTACGTCAAAATTCATGTATTTCATTTAAACCAAAAAAAGAACAATAATCATCAGTTTCAATTTGTACCTAGAAATTGGTGCTGAATTAATAACTGATTGTGTATTTGTTGATGCTTTCCAAACACAGGTTCTTGTGGACTTTTTTTGTAAATAAACAACCAAAACAATAACAATTGATGATAATAATGCAATTGATCCAATAATCAAACTCAAAATAGTTGCATCTGATTATAAAATGGAAAATTAAAATAGACAGAAAAAATACGACAATTTTATGTACTAACCTATCATTCCACTTAATCGAGTGTCTACGCCTAATAATATTTACTATACGAAAAACATTTTCCACACAAATTAGAAAAAAGAAAAACGCCTGGATTACGATATTGAATGGGGAGGAGACAGCTGGAAAATATATTTCGTAGGCTCTCAGTAAGAGAGTAAAGTTATTATTTTTGACGCCTACATTCACTCATATCCTGATGTTTTTCTTTTCATGTTAATATGAAAAGAACGAAAAAGAAAATGTGTCAATTTTTAGTTTATCATATTTAGCTTTTATTAAAAAACAACAACAATATTGCGTATTGATTCATCAACGATAGATAATTCAATAATCAAATAATGCCATAATATAGTCCTGAGATTCTTCTGTTTTTTATCATTGAATTAAACACGAATACAAAATTTCAACAATTTATCGAAAATTTTTATATGCTTATATACCATTCAAAAATGTTACACTGGGTCCATGCAGAGAGGCACCATATGTTTTTTTAATAGTTTGAAGTAGCTACCTAATCGCGAAGTTATACATTTTACGGCACGACTTTTGTTTTTTTTCTTTTTTTGTTATCGATAAACTAATCAGACTATCATAACAGATGCATAGCCCACTATTAACGTAATCCTTTCATTATAAAAAAATCTATTCTTGATTGTTAAAAACAAAAAAATAGAAAGAAAGAGTATATCAATGATTTATACTATGAAACATGATGCTTTGTGTTTTAGTTGATTTTGAAACCCAAATTCTAAATATTTATTGCCGTATAATAATACAAATGTGTGTTTATAAACTTGGCAATTTATTATGAATGTTTAAATTTATTTCGATAATTATCTTTTGAATAAATAGCAAAAATATTTAGAATATAAAAAAAACATTAATTATTACAATTTACATTGAAACAAGCAGTACTGAAAAATTATTTAACATAAGATATGAATACATTTATTGTTCTCATCGATTAGATGATTGTTTTCTAGACGATCCATTATGCCTAGAATGTTTTCGTGATGAAGCTGGTGTTGAATTTTTTGATTCTGGTCTTGAAACCCTTGGTTCCGATCTTAATGCTTTCTCTCCATCAACAAACACTGGGCCAACATGATGATGATGATGATGATGATGATGATGTGGACGTGGAGATCGAGCAAAAGGAGGAAGAGGAGGACGAGAAGGAAAAGAAACATGTGGTTGTTGATCTATATCACCATATTCCCATGCTTCTTGTTGAGCGAGAAAATTGACCATTCTTTCTTGAACATTTATAAAATGTCTTTTTGTTAATGGACCCATACCTGTAAATTTATGACTAGGAGAACCATCAGCTTCAGGTGTTGACTTTTTCTTTCGTTCATGGGAACTAGAAACCTTTACATGAGCCATCATCAATATAAGTATAGTGAAATAATAATATTAATGTATACTTGTTGAAAAATTATATTTTCAATATAACTTAAAGATATTGTACGAAAATAAATATATTTTCCATTTATATAGAAAAGTTTTATTTATCATGTTTGTTTATTGAACCATGACGTTTTGACATTCCTCTTTACATATTACCTTTCCATGCGTAAATATCATGCACACATTATATGTTATTGGACAAATTTTGCTTAAGTATTCAATGATGTAATGAGATAAAATCATCAAACCGTCATCTGATGGTAGGAAATGATTTTACCTAGACGAAAACAGTATTTGTTGTAATGAAATGGCTTGAAGCAATATTATACATGTTATAGTGTGAGACACAACGCTCATGCGTCTTCATAAAAACAACATTTTTTCATGTTAGTCATGAATGTTTTTCTTTTATACATAATTTAGATTTCTATGGTGATTAATGTAAAAATTAATGAGCGCAAAGGTATACCATTTCTAGTAACAGAAATAGGAAAACAATAGGAAATAACATACTTGAAATGCAATATATTGACTTAAGATAAAGAATAAACGTGTAAAGAGTAGAAGTGTATCAGTAAAATATTGGACGAAAGTTTCAAAGATGAAATTAATGTGTTTCTGAGTCCAAATTTTAATTCAAAAACAAAAAAGCAAAAGACCGCAGTTCAAATACTAAAAACAAAAGCAAGGTTGTTGTTGTCATTACTATAAATTTGTTTCATTCTAAGAACAGTTTAGAAAGATGAATTAGTTCCTTTATTACATATTAAAGTATATATACTTGAATGATAAGAAAAAATTCTAGTTCTGATTGTTGATACTTATTATTAAATAAATAGTGTATGCAGATAAAAACTATGCTTATATTAACGAAAAATTTCGTATGTGTGGCAGTTCTTATATATATTTATCATTGATCTAAGGGGTTATGCATAAACGACATTCAGATAAAAATCGCATTTTTTAAGGTATCATTATTCAGTTTCAATGATTTCCCTCTTCCATACGTGGTCGTTAGTGGTCTGCGTGATTGACATTTTTAGTCACGATCACGAAGACGAAAAAAAATTCTAATCACGCACGATCACGGCTTTAATTTGTACATAGAAATTAAAGATACTAAAAGAGCTTTTAATATTCAATAGTGCCATCTATAAACTGTTGTTGATTGGATTCTGTCTTAAAGAATTGCAATCATCATTGAGAATTACCTAAATTCTTTTCTGTTCTTAATCTTAACAACTCTTAAAAATATAAAAATCCTAATTAATATTCATTATCAGAATGTCTATGACTAGTAATCAATTAAATAAAAAAGATATTGAACGTCTTGTGTCACAAATTAATACATCAATATCGTATGAAAAACCAGGTGAAACAACTAAAACTAAAATCTCCAAACATTGGAATAATTTCAGTCAAATATATGTTTCTAATGTCAAACAAGATTTCATTGTTTGTGATGATTGTAAAACGATATTGATCTACAAATCATCTACNTCGTCCAATTTCGATTTCGACATGAACATATAGGTAAAAAATGGTGTAGAATTCAATGGAGCTATTTAGAGACGTCTATCGAATCTCTGAAGATCCTTAGAAAATACTTTCTTATGAGACGGCGGCAGTCTATGTTTCGTGTGGTGAAATGAGTGGTGTCACACGTCTAGAATTTGAAGATGAGGAAAGATAGACCTTATTCATACACATCTCTTGGTTATCTAACGTTGTGACATGACGTATCTAACATACTGCATCTCTCTTGCGTTCTGTCGCATGTTTGACAACATACGTCACTCATTTCATTTCTCTTGCGTTCTGCCACGTGCCATGACAATATATTTTCTTACGAAACGAGCTTGTGTCACACATACAGTAACATTTATAATTTTCTGAATATTGAACAGCACTGCGCAAGATCACTTCAAGCGTTTTCTCACTTCTCTTTTCTCCATTAATTGAAAAAAAACTATAAAAATAAAAAAAAAAAGTATACCTTCAAAAGCCTTGCGGGGAACCAAAAAAATTAGATTAGTTGCAGTTGACTTCTTCAATGTGCATTCGGCTCTACGTGTCGGAGAAGATAAACATGTCACTCGATTTCTTTTAACAGTAACATGGCCAAGAGATGCACGTTTCAGATATTTTTCATAAGAAAATATTTTCTAAGGATCTTCAGAGATTCGATGGACGTCTCTAAATAGCTCCATTGAATTCTACACCATTTTTTACTTATATTTTCATGTCGAAATCGAAATTGGACGAAGTTTGACCCGAATGATAAAAACATGAATTTTTTTAACTGCATTGCTTCAAATAAAATCAGTTTTTCTCTATGAGAAAAGAAAATTTGTCGAAACCCATGCTAGGCGTTTTTCGCCTTCACTTGACGGTTCGAATGATATGAGAAGGTTGGGGAAATGTTGTAGAACAAAAGACTAGATAGGTTTGGCAGAATGACGTGAAACTGGTCGTTTTTGGTGTCACGTGACGAGTCGTCACGTACGACGGTGTCAGTTTTACTGAAACAGATATGAATGATGAAAAATTCTTAAATTAATACAGTTCTACTCGAATTTTGATGCTGAATCTGAATAACATAGTTTCGAAGTCTCATCAGTATTATTATTCATCGAAATTTTGAAATTTCTTGAAAAAAGTGCGAAATAGATCATTTTCATAGCTATTTTTCGTATTTCGAAGGTTTTTCATCCATAACGTGACCAACAAATGTTTTAAAGGTGATATTCGTGATCAGCTCAACGAGCTCTATCTAATCATGTAAAAAAATAAAGAAAAAAAAATGTTTGCTCATGTTTTGCCCTTGGTGCACCTCACATGTAAGCATGCGTGAAAACATTTCTTGGTTAACTTCTTCTACTCCTCACTCGTAAATGTGGTTTCTATTCTTCTTCATTAACGCATACCCCTACATATTGAAATCTTCGCAAGGTAGTCATTTTCTTTCTATTTTTCTTTTTTAATATACGAAGTACTTTTCTACATCTCATCTTTCGTGTTGATTTTGATTAAAAAAATTAGATACATTAATCTGTACTACTATGATCATTTGCATTGATTCATCTAAAATCCATATTAATTAAAATGAACATTTCAACCAAGCAGATTTAATCAAAATGAGTTTCGTTGTGAATACAGGGTGTTTCAAAAGTTCGTCGTGAAAGTAAATTCGAATAACTTCACTATTGATCAAACTTAATCAACTGCATTTTTATTCATAAGATAGGGACCACTGTGAAGTTTTTTTTGACACGGACAAGTTTCACAAATACTGTTCAAAGTTATCGCTTTGGACTGAAATACAAAAAGCAGTCGTTTTTTTATTTTCAGAAAAAATTACTACTCAGTGTTTTTCTTTTCATGTTCTAATTTGTTGCTTTTCTTGCAGCGTTTAGATCAACCAGATCTTGGACTACCGTTTCTATGTATTTTTTAATATGTGACTACAGCAAGAACTTTATTGATGTCAAGTCTGGTCATCATCAAGCTCAAGAAACCGCTTTAGACTTCTGAACAGTGACTCGTAACTGGAAGAAATAAACTGATGTTATGAGCTTTGTAATCACTAGACTTGACATCAATAGGCTTCTTGCTATAGTCACCATACTAAAACAATGCACAGAAATGATAGCTCAAGATCTGGTCGATGAAAACGCTGTAAGAAAAGCAACAAATTAGAGCATGAAAAGAAAAACACTGCATAGTATTTCTTTCTGAAAATCAAAAACGGCAACTTTTTGTATTTCAGTCAAAAGTAATAACTTTGAACAGTATTTGTGAACCATGTTCGTTTCAAAAACCTTGATAGTGTTACCTATCATATGAATAAAAATTCAGTTGATTAAGTTAGATAAATAGTGAAGTTATTCGAATTTACTTTCATGGCGAACTTTTGGAACACCCTGTAGTAACAGAAATATGAAAACAATAGAAAGTAACATGCTCGAAATACGATGTGTTGACTTAAGATAAAGAATAAACGTGTAAAAAGTACAAGTTTATCAGTAAAATATTGGACGAAGGTTTCGAAGATGAAATAAACATGTTTTTGAGTCCAAATTTTAATTCAAAAGAAAAGCAAAGAATGGTAGTTCAAATATTTAAACAAAGGCAAAGTTGTTGTTGTTATTGCTATATGTTTCATTCTAATAGTCCAGAAATATGAATCAGTTCGTTCGTTACATATTAAAGCATATATACTTGAATGATAAGAAAAATTCTACTGCTGATTGTTGATACCTATTATTAAATAAATAGGGTGCGTAGATAAAAACTATACTTATATTAACGAAAAATTTCGTTTGTGTGACAGTTCTTGCATATGCTTATTTAACCTCATTTTTTTTTTCAAGATTAAACAATGTCATCGTTTTCTGTTACTCTTACATTTGCTTTTCTATTATGTTTCTGCAATTTAGTCAGTGCTAATAATCTTGGTCCTTCTATTGGAGGTGGCATTGGGGGTCTGGTAAGTGAATCAAGATTTGAAAAAAAAATAAAGATTTTTGTCTTATATATATGTATATATTTATTCATTAGATTATATTAATCCTTGATATAATCGCTATTGTTGATGTTCTTCGATCATCTCGTGACGTGGTTGGAAAATTACTTTGGATTTTGCTCATTGTTTTCTTCCCTATTGGAGGTATGATATTTATTTTCTATTTATAGATATTTATTTAATTGTATTATTTAGGTTTAATAATATGGTTACTTTGCGGACGAAAGACAACTGCAGTCGTTTGATAATGATACTGTTTTTTCTCGTTATCTGATTGACTATAGTTCGAGAACTTTTTTTTTTTTTTATTATAAACTTTATTCCAGCGTTTGATAGTCGTTTCCTTTTTCTGTGATTAAACTTTGCATTTTTCTTATCCCATTTGGAATGTCTCGTTTATTTATCAAATCACCAATCTATATATACATACTATGTGAAAGATACAGTGAGAGCTCAAAAATGTACATGCTTTTTTGAGCCCTCACTGTATGAAAAAAAAAAAACGATTACAATAAGTTTTTGTGTTATCAAAGTCATAGCATGAAAAAATTTCAAATGTCAACTGTTCACATGTTTTTATTTGTTCATATCGAGACAAAAAACAAAGGAAGAACAAAAAGAAATAACAATTTTGAGCATGAAAAAAACAAAAACAAACAAACAAAATAAGTCATATAAATATGATTTTATGAGAATATATATATCTTGGTTTAGAAAATATCACTTTGATAAGCAATTAAATATTCTGGTAAAACTTGTGCATCATGAGAAGGTACAAAAACTTCTGGTGATGAAACATTATCAACTAATGAATCACAACCCGGTGGACATGCTTTCATTGATGAATCACCACGTGTATATCGACCAACTAAGACTTTACATACAAATAAAAAGCGTCTTGGTGGTTTTGATGGTGTTTGTTGTTGTTGTAATCGAATTGGTATTGATTGATGACTTTGAGCCAATAATGTTGCTGTTCGATTTATTTCTTTAGCTTTACAATAATAATGACAACCATGGCCATAAGCGGAAACTAAAATAATAATATTAAAAAAATAAAAATTTTCCTAAGTTATCTTTATAATAATGATTGTTGATTTCATATAAATTGTTTTTACTTTCTTGTGTCTTTTTTTTCTATAACTTACAAGCTGAATCAGTATGTGATTGATTGAATCCATTAGCACACATATCATCAATAAGATGAGCCTGTGCCAAACGATAAAGAATACGTTCAGTATCTTGAGATCGTACAGCTAATTTTTCTTTATAAGCAAAATATTGTTGTAATAGACGTGGATTTTGTATACGATGAATCTATAATAAATATTGTTTAAAAAGTTTGGTAATAGTGAAACATTCATAGGAAATAAAGTACTTCATTTATTGGCAGGGGCGTACCCAGGGGGGGTGCCCTCAGGTGCCCGGGCACCCCCCTCAGCCAAAAAAAGCCTGGAGGGGGGTACGGGTAAAAGATTTTTTCGGGAAACAAAAATTAATTTTTCTGCTAGTATCTAGCCCCATAATGAGTCGGGCACCCCTCTCAGAAAATTCCTGGGTACGCCCCTGTTTATTGGCTTTCATACGTTTGTATCAAAAAATGACCGTACTTTTCGATCTATTTTATTCTTGAGAAAACTCAAGTTTTAAAACGAACAAAATCTTTTTCTATTCTCAAGATTCAGTTTTCGTTGATGTCTTATTATTTAATTATATCTTTTGAATACGTACTTCGATAATCCATGATTCAGATAGCATGTCTGGCAGTTGAAGTAACCTTTGAATTTCAACATTAGCTTCTAAATACATATGAGATATCTTAATATATATAATTTATTAAATATCACATACTCCATCCAACTATATTATCTCGTCTACCAATCAATACACGATCCCATGGTTTTGTCATTGGTGTCCAATGTGCTGGAAGTTGTATAGATTGAGGATCTATTTTAAAATTAAATTAAATTAAAATTAAATGAGAAAATAATTTTATTACTTTTGAAATCACGTCGTTCAATTTTAACAGTTATCGGTGAAGTATTCGGATTTTTTCCATGTATAATTTCAATCATTTTATCCAAATTAAATGTATGATTACATCCTAGTTGATCTTTCAAATTAACCTAAATTTTTAAAAAAATATCCAAAAGAAAAAACAGCGATGGTAAAAGAAAAATATTGATTTTTCTTACTAATCCTTTTTGTTTTTTTGTATAACAATTGTCTAATTGTTGTTTAATTACATTATCATATAGGATAGGTTTATTTGTTGATATATCATAATATATCCATTGAGTTGAATATTGTATATCATCAAGTGCACGTCTTGCAACAATTAAACATAAATCATTAATCATTTTTTCAATTTGAATAAAATCTCCTGAAAGACCTTCTAATTCAATTGAATTATTTGCTTGATCAATAACACATGAAACATTACATGTATTACATTCATTTTGAAGTAATTCAATCTAAATAGAAATTTAAAAAAATATTCATTAAATTATAAAGAGTGCTGCTCAAAATTGATCATACACTCAACAAATAACATTGTTTTTCCGATATCTGAAGAGAAGTTCAACGAATTGAAGTGTAGTTTTTTTCTCAAAATGTTGCTTATGTTTAATAATTTATTTACTCCGAGTACCATCTCTTTTTACCCTAAACGAGCTATGCTAGATAAATGATATTAAAAATGATGTCACTTGATTTGGCTCAAAACTGATCGTAGAGAGTTCACACAAAAATATACCTAAACTTCGCCATAGAAAAATCAGGCTTTTTATAATTTCAAAAACATAATAGATTACAAGGATATTTTCATTGTAACAAAAAGAAAAATTTCATCACTTTTATTATCTTTCATCTAGTACAGCAAGTTTACGATAGGAAAAGGCTCTAGTGAATGTATTGAGTTCATAGTATCGTGCTATCAGTATGCCATATGGGCTTTTGACCAGTTTAAGGGTCTTTTAGTACTTAAATACAAAATGCTTCTAAACGTTCAATGTACTGATTTGTTGAAAAATTTTTCATAGATCACTAGACAAATTGAACAGATACCTAGTAAGTACTCATGTACTGAGACAATTCTCAGTAGAGAACCTAACCAAGATCTTATGACATACTAGTAACAGAATATCCGGCTGACAACTAACTCGGTACATGAGTACTTATAACTCAGTACATTCACAAAAAAGTGATACTTCGAGCAAATAAACTATGAAATGTAAGCGACATTTTAAAAAAAGCCTACATCTCATTACATTGAACTCTTGTTTAGATATCGGAAAAACCGAGTCATCTCTCTGTTGAGTGTACGATGAATTTTGAGCTTCATTGTATGTATATACATCTTGTTCATTAAATAAATTAATATCATTATTATGTATTTTTTGTGTAGAATATTTTTGTTCTTCAAATTCTTTTATTAATCTTTGTGCTGTAGCTATTTTCTCAGGTGATCGACCGATTATTTTCAAACTGATTAAATAATCTACAATTGAGCAAAATAAAAACAAGTCGAAAGCGGTTTTTTTTTGTTTCTATTAAAATTTATTTTTACCATTTGCTCGATTATAATCGATACGTTGTTCGACAGTGATAAGACATGTTGATGTTGCTATAATATAAAGAAGAAAAAAAATTGATAAGTTTAATTTAATCGAGTTTTCTCGTCATACTAGCGATACGTTGAATTTCATTTGATCTCGAATAATATCGACTGAGTATAGGTGATTTAACAGGTAAAAGAATAGTTGAAAGTTGACTCCGCATTTTTTGTATTCGATCTTTAACCATTTCAAATTTTTCTTGAAAACATTGAACAAGTAAAATATGACGATGATGACGATAAATAAAACGTAATTCAGCTTCACGAAATGTATCAAGATTTGTCATTTCAGCAAACTCATTTTTGAATAAAGAGAATATTCCACTAGCCTATAACATAAATATACAATTAACAAGTTAACCATTATGAAAAAAAGAAAACTAAGGCTCACATCTCATTTCGAATGAAACTCATGTGATCAAAAATAGATTTCATCTTATATTTATTCTACTAATATCAATCCAAAAATGAATTGAGTACGACGAAGAAGTAAAATTATGTAGAGTATTATATTGGTCTATCAAAAATTGTTTGAAATTATATAGTAAGTTGAGCATTCTACGAAGTATCGCAAATGTCCGCCGTAAAATAAAATGTGTAATAATTCTTCAGCGATTCACATAAGATTTTCATAAAATATTCTCGACAGCTTTTCTTCATATAACTTTATCCATAACTGTTATTTCAAATGATCAACATCAACTGTAAGACATGAAACCATGTGTTGCGAAACGTTTTTCGAAAGTTAGTGCACAACGTTTGTTTTGAGATCGCTATGAGCTCATTATCGTTTCTTATTTACATGTCAATAAGGGCTTTCATATAAATTCCAGTACATAATATCTTGTTAGTATATAAATAAGAATCTATGAGGAGCTTATATTGATCTTATTTGAAACAACAGTTATAGATATAAACCATATGAAATAAAACTTTCTGAGAATGTCCTACAAAATGATGAAAAGCTCATATGAGTTGCTTGTATTATTGAAGATTCAGTGCAATTTTATTTCACGACAGACTTTTGGGACATCCTGTAGTTGGTTCGGTTTTGTTCATTCACAACATAATCAAAGAAGAGACAGAAGTACAATAAATATTAGTGCTCAAAACTTTTCTGTTTTCTGACTTTTAACATCTATTCCAAAACCTTTTAGCTTTCAAATAGCTCTACTCTTTTTGAAACTAAAAACATCAAGAATAATAACATGAAATGATCGATTATTTATATTCTTATTCTTAGGTTAGAGTAAGCTCAAGCACATTTTTTCTCTCTTCATCATATTGATAAATTATAACAGTGCATTAAAATTCTTGTACAAATGTCAATAGTTTTCGCCATCTTCAGTGGCTAATAATAATACTTTTTTTTGATCAAATCGACTTTAGAAACATTGATTTTCATATCAGTAAGTGTTAAATCATATACGTATATCGGCAATGATTTGAAACGAGAATATTTTACTACAAATGACGACAAACTGTACTGAAAATTCACTAGAATCCGTCACAGGTTTTTCTTTGCCTTCAGCAACTAAAATTACATGCTTATTAGACATTTTCAACAATGAAATATCTTTTCCTTATGAAGATTTCTTCTTGGCCTAGAAAATTTTTTTTTGCTAATGCAGCAGATCAAAAATGCTTCTTTCAAGAATTGACTCTCAATCAGTCTCAATATTCGAATGTTTTTCTTATCTTCACTACTATTATATGCTACAAAATGTGAACTGGAAAAACTAACTTCAAATGATCCTCTCTCGTTTTTCAACTTGCAGGTCCGAATCTTATAAAAACAAAAGTTTTGAGCCTACTCTCATCGAATCAAAACATCACACCGTCTATGAATACATATGTGTACCTGTTCAGTTTCAATAACATCCGTTTCATAACGATTAGCATCTAAAAACTTCGTTAATAATGTTTGTATTTGTTGTACATTTGCGTTTAAACCATAAACTTGTATAATTGTATCAATTTTCCTTATTAATAAAGTTTTATTTAATTCTTTATGTTTAGATAAATTGTCATAAAATATTGTCCAACGTTTTGTTGTCATTAAATCAGCTGATAATGCAATAGCAATATATGTAAAACGTGTATTTAATAATTGTAAAACACGTTGTTGTAATTGATCATTTAATTCTTCAATAGATTGTTTTTCACATGGAAATTCTAAATAAGTTATTTGAAATTGTTTTTTTGATCGTCGACAATAAATACATTGTTGTTGATTATAAAATTGTTTTAAATGATAATCAATAAGACGATATGTTGAACGAAATATACGATTATAATTAGCTTGACTATCAAGTTTTATTTGTGCTGTTGATTGTTGCATACGTGTTATATTTGTTATTGTTGTACGAGGAAAATTTTCAAATAATATTAATATTGTATGTTTATATGAATTAAGTTTATTAAGATAATTAAGACATTGTTCAATATTTAATTTAATATTTCCATCAATAATTATGGTATATGTATCTAATTGAAAATAAATATTTATTGATGAAAATGACCGACGTAAACGTAAACGAAATGTTTCATATAATTTTGGATTATGAATAAAACCACGACAATTCTTTGGAATAATTAATGAATTACATTCAGTTGCTTGAGGTTTTAAACGAATATTAGTTGTAAGTGGAAGATTAGTAGTTGTTGAATGTTCAATAGAATCTGTTTTTGATTGTTGTTTTTTCTTTTTTGATACTAAAACTTGTTTACCACCGGCAATAACATCATGCCAATCGTCATGTTCATTGTTTTCTGGTCCATTTTCTTCATTATGCTCTTCACCAACAACGACAATACAAGGTTTAAGATCATCATCGAGATAGACATGTGGTAATCGTTGAACTGATATATCCTGTTTATGATATCCTTGATCATTGAGAACATGTACAGTATTATTATTATCTTCATCTTCTTCATTAATTGATTCAGGTGCTGGTTCGGTTTTATCTTAAGAGAAAATTATGTTAAAATAATAATAAATATAACGAGGGAACTACCTAAAGTTGCACCCACCGTTTGTGCTCTTATTTTACTAGCAGGGAAGTCTTAGCGAGATTAGAGAAAGTCTAAAAGAGTTTGTCACTATTGGTCTTCGGCAGTGGATTATGACTAGTTTGCTAGATTTTTTATCTAAGCCTTTACCTTTAGATAGATCTAATAGCCTCTAAAATATTCTGAAAGTTTCAGTCTAAAGGAATATTTCTTCGTCGAGTTATGGAACTGAACTTTTGTGAAAAAAGACCATTTTTTGAAATTCAATATCTTGACGAAGGATCATTCTAAGAGTCATTAGATCCATCTGTAGACAAAGTTTTAGATCAAAATTCCGTCATTTGTTGTTCTGGGAGACTACGTACAAGTGAATCGAAAATCCACTAAATTGATCATAACTTCGTGACAAGGGTTCATGGAGATAAACCCTTTTATACTTTTACTAGTCTCATTGAGACCTGCCTCAGGGTTCAATATGAGCTCAAACGGTAGGTTCATTCGTGGTAGTTCTCTCATAAAAATATTTGCTATTTATAAGAGAGAAACAATGAAAACGTTGATTTTGAAATCTCAAAGTTCACTGTTTCCTATTCGATAGAGTTTCTATAGAAAAGACATCATTAAACCATCGGTTTATTAGTAGATTTCATCATCTATATAATATATATCATAACAAAGTCAATTTTTTAACAACTATAAGACTCAATAGATATAAAACTGTACAAACACTTGTATACAGCAAAAATGAATTTAGAATTCTCAACATAATTTTGTTTACATAAGCCATAGAAATAAAATATTGAGAAAAGGATCCCTCAAACTTGATGAAAAAATTATTGTTCTGATATAGCAAAACAAAAAAAAGTGAATTGAAAGTGGCCTCTTTGGCATGGCAAGAATTTAAAACTGGATATCAAACGAAATTTTAAACATCTAATAAAAATTCTGAAAGTATTTAAGAATTATTGAATTTCTATCAAGAAAGTTTTTCTATGTAAATATTCAATTAATTAATACCATACCTTTATTATCATTATGATTATTATTTAATTTCTTTTTGTTTTTATTTCTTTTACTACGTTTTTTCTTATTTGATTTTGTTTCTGTTGATACTAATAAATCAGGATCAATATTTAATATTTGTGATGGTGTATTATCACCTTGTTTATTGTCTATTCGTTGTTTTTTATGATTTATATTATCCTTAATATTTTTTTTTAATGATGAAAATAAACGAAATCTATCTGGATTACGTTGTTTTTCAACACGAAATTGTGTATAATCAAGAAAAGCTAATGCAAAACGACGACATTTTATAGTAACAGCATAATCATCACCATATAAAATTGATTGTGGTTCATCCATTTGATCTATATTATCACTGGCTTCTTCCATTTCAGCTAATGATGACATTAAATTTTTTGCTGCGCTACGAAGAAATTCCATATCACCATATTCATATACTGATTCATCAAGAGATAAATCGTTATTATCAAAATCTGATGGTAAATCATCAAAATCATCATCACTTGCTCGTATTTCATTTTCATTATTTTCAATATCATTATCATTCTCATCATCAATTTCATCATTTGCTTCAATTGTACATATAGATTCGATTTTAGGATAGAGAATTTCTGTTGTTTTTAATGATACTATAGAAGACAGTTCAATAAATATTGGTGATTTAGACTCCGTGGGAATTTCTAAACAAAATAAGACAAATTTGAAATAAATTTTATTTTACATGATATTAAAATATGAACCTATTCGTTGAATAGTTGTAGGTAATGGTGAAATAGGCACTGAGAGTTCAGATTCAGGAAGTAAAACATTTTTATTTACGGAAGATAATATTTCTTGTGTGGTAATATCAGTTGTTGAAAGTATTGATTGATTTTCAATAGATGAAAGTTTTGATTGAACTTCAGAATGACGTCGTTGTAAATAATTATCCAAATGACGTTGAGAATATATATCAATATAAATTGGTGTCACTCGGATGGGATCATCAAATGATGTCTTAATTGAACGCATGAGATCTAAAGAATATTAAAAACCTGTTTATCTTTTTACAAAAAGAAAAGATAACTAGTCATGCACGGAGTTTAAGCATTCAGATTCGATCTCGTTTCAGTTAATTAGTAATAGAAAACAGGGATGTGGCGAAGAGAAAAAAGTGGAGGGGTGCAAGAAAATTTTTTTCAAAAGTTAAGGGTGTATTCAGAAAATTTTTGAACGTGAGAGGATGCATTTACAAAATTTTAAAAAGTGGTGGGGTGCAGAACCCTATTTTTCCATCTTATGATCTTTTTTTTTCAGTAAAAACACAGATTTTTGCTGGGGAAAAGCGATAATTTTCTAAAAGTGNTTTTTTTTCAGTAAAAACATAGATTTTTGCTGGGGAAAAGCGATAATTTTCTAAAAGTGGGGGGGTGCGCACCCCCCTGCACCCCGTGGTCGCCACATCCCTGATAGAAAACACACGAATGATAAAAGAAAAGATTTCAGACTTGGTTATGGTAGATTTACATACAATGGTGTCAATTATCCAAAAACGGAAAGTCTGTAGACATCCTTAAAAAAAGTCAAAATTGTTCGGAAATATTCTAATCCGAATCTTAGGGTGCTTCCGTGATTGGCTGTGTTGTACCTCAACAAAGTCTTGAACAATTATCAAAATACAGGATACGTTCTGCAATGATTGACTATTTTCCAAGCCAGAGTTCAGTGCCCTTTTATTCGGACCATATTTGCTAAGGTAATTTTCAGAATATACAGGATGATCCAATCGATTACTGGACGACAAAAAGAATTTCGTGTCTCGTGTTTGCTATAATCAATGGGCTGATTTTCTAACAGAAAGCTCATTCCAAAAAAAATCTTTTCGGTTTTCCCAGCAGAAAAGATTAAAAAATTAGCTGATACCACCTCTCATGAGCTTCAAAACACATTTTATGATCATGATCATTCCATATCCTCTCTGAAACGCCCTAATGTTCATCAAATCACCCCATATAAAAAGAAATTCTAGATCCAATATTGAAAGTATCATACACTGCGATCTAAACTACTCTTCGAGGTAGATATGTGACATTTTTGTGTATATTCTAATTTAGAAATATAGGTCAATGAGACCAATCCGGCTTCGTTCGCTTGAATGAAAGAGGAATTATGGTCCACATCATTATTTGGTCTTTTAATGTAGCCATTTACTCTACCAATTTCATTCAATTTTCAGATGTGTAGTCTTAATACGACTCAGATCACAAGTAGAATACTTCCAGCCAATAGTGTATTCTGCTTTATTCTAGTTATTGATGAGCGATTCTGTAGACATAATTTCAAAATTTGATTTATACTATATGCTTACCATCATGACAATAAAAATGTACAAAAGCACAGAATGAATAAGTTTTTATATGAAAAATTCTTTCATTTTTAAATAAATTTTTGATATCATATTCCGAATATTCTTGATCATATTCAACTAATAATGTTTCTGGATGATACAATTGAATACATTTAATTTGTAATCCATCATATTCAGGATGATTTCGAACATTCGAAGAAATTTTTAAAAAATCTTTAAACAAAACAAAAGAAATAAAAAAAAAGTAAATTCATAGATCCTCGAATAAATAAATAATATCTTTTTATTTTACCAATATCTTCATTATATTCAACAAGGATAGTTTGTTTATCATTTTGATAATATTCAAAATGATTTTTTTTATAAGGTTTTGAAACAATATCAATATATAATGGAATACGATTGGTTTCAATAGACATATTTATAAAACATACATGACGCATATCAACTGTTCGTTGTAGAAGACGAGGCATAAAAGTAAATGATTGAAATGTTATAGAACCATGATGAATAACTCGATCAGCAGCTATGATAATACAAAAAAAAAAAAAGAAATTCTTTCGATGTTATACATTTATTTTGTTTTTCTACTTACTATGTGAATTTTTATAAACTATTTGCGCAATACCAAAATGTTGATAGATTGTATGTATTTGTATTGGACCTCCATCAGATTTGTCATAATTACTAAAGACTATTTCAACAAAATGAGTTTCAATATCTTTTTGTGGTGTCCAATATATTTGAAGACCTTTTTCAGCTAAAATAGATCAAAACAAATATTATTCGATATTGAATCTTAATGTTAAATAGTTATTGATTTACAACAAAAGAAAATATCGTATTACATAATTTCAAGATAGAAGCCATATTACCTCGAATATATCATAATTGAGCAATAAAGATATTAATTGCTCAAATAAACATTCATATAAAATATGATATCAAAATGAACATTTATTTTTAATATTCGAAATGTAAAAATGAATGTAAAAGAAAATCCTTTAGTGATTAACAATTTGTTTTATACAATGAAATTCTAACTACCAAAACTTCTATCCATCTATATACGTACTTTTATTATAACACATAAGGTTTTTGCTGATGAAACAATCTAACTCTATGTCACACGTTTGTTCGCACTATCAATTGTATAGCACACATTATACAGAATGATTTACTGACGGGTTTTAGTCCGATTCAAATCACATAAGTAAATAAATCTTTACTTAAATGTTTATCATTCTTTGGATTTCACTCATTACCAAAAAAAAGTTGATCCACTTTCTAGTATCATAACAGCTAACGTCAAATCTAATTTCTTCAATATTTGTTATTAGAATTCGTTGAGTATGGATTTAAAAGTTTTGAACCCGATAGATACTATCCGATTGATATAAAATAAAGAAAAATCTAAATTGAATTTGCTAATAAATACATACGAATCTGACTTATAATCTGTTGTTGTGTAGGAAAATTTGTTGAAGTTAATTGTGTTGGATTATTAGTTTTCCAAGATATATTACTATTAATTTGTGAATTAACTGTCAATCGTTTATTATGTGTAGACGAAGAAGAGGGGAAAGAAGATAATGTTGGATTCTTAGTAAATGATGAAGATGATATTGGTTGTTGTCCTTTTAATGATGGTATACTGGATGAACTATAATTTAATAAATGTTTCTAAAATAAAATAAAAGAATTTAATTGAAATTAAACATCGTGTTTTTGTTTCAAAATACTTTTAATTGACAATAAATTCTAAAAGCTTTGGTTAATGCATCTAAATCAAGATGAATTAATGTTCCAAGTATATTTTAATGATTTTTTTGTGTTAATATATGTGGATATGGACAATTTATTGAACGACGACATGAATTTGTATAGAAATACTCATAACAAACATGTAAATTTGAACATAATTCACCATTATTTTGACATGAACCATTATGAAAATTATTTCGACATATTTCAAACTATTGAGAAATAAAAATTAATAGACTTTAAAAATTCAAAAAATTCAAATACAAACAGGCATAAAAAATTCAATACGATTTCGCTCACGACTAATTTTAAATATTTCCATATAATTCTTAATACTAGCAAGTACATGCTTCGAATTCGTACATAAACAATGTTCAAGACAATAATCACATAAAATAGGTACTTCAAAAAGACATGTCTGTTGTTCAAAACATAATCGTAATATTGCATTAACTATATCAATATCCATTGGTTTTTTGTTCTATGTAGTAATTTCGCTTGATTAAATATATGTGACCTAGATTTGTTTTTATTAAATTTAACAGTACTGATTTTAGCTGTTTAATTTTTCTATAGTCTATAAAGAGAAATATATGAATCATCAAATCAATTTCGAACTAGAAATTCATTAATGCATTTAGGATAAAACTTATTTTGAAAAGTTGATGTTACCAGCGTATGAAATACATCACTACTGTAGATTGTTTACGATATTAAATTCTTCTAATCAATTAAAATAAGACAGTCAATTTTAGCGACATCACTTGTTTGCATTGCTCTCAAGTCGAATGTCCATTGCTGTGAAGCGCCATAGGTTGAATGAAACTCATCTTCTCAAAAAAAAAGGAGTAGATAGAGAAATATAGTCTGATTTAATAGATCTTTATAATTTTTTTTCTGCTGTTTTTATCGAACCCAGATGTCGCTTCACTAATTGCACTCAATATTAAATAGTATTTCTGGACACGTTTCAAAGCATGAGGTGAGGTAACGGACTTTTCTTTCTGTTCTGTTATTCAGTTTCAAGAGGAGAAATCAAAAACCTTATTTCAACCAATACGATTTTCACATGTTTAAATGTCGCTCATGAACCATATCAATTTTAACAAAATTTTTTAATGGTTTATTTTCTTTTTGTTCGTTATCAGTTAAATGAAAAGAAAAAAGAGATAGATAAAAAGTGTGAATAGCATAGTTGACGGTTTCTGATTGGTATAGTTTTTCAAAAGAAAGAAAAATTCTCTTCAGTAAAGTTTTTATGTAAGAAGAAAATCGCGAGCTTCTAAATAAGTGATATTTATCTTATTCTTTTGAAAATATTGTTTTTCGTTTAAAAGCAGTTGGAAGAATAAAAAGAATACCTCTTCCAAAACCTAAAGAAACAAAACAAAACACGTATTATTTGATTCAAAACTAACCGTCAACTAGGCTATTCACCCTGT